AGAAAACACTCAATAGAATACATTTTATGAAGATAAATTAGTTAGCCCTGTAATGTTTTATTTAGTTTTCAATAATTCGGTTACATTATATTTATATTTTTTATTTGAATTAGTATCATTATTTTTCTAATTTTATATAATTCGATATTTATTATTATCTAATAATATTATTATAATTTGCTCTAATTTGATTCTTTTCTTTATAAAAATTTATTTATCATTAATTTAGCTCCTTACCCAACTTCATTCACAATGAAGTCAGCTAACTACAAAAATTAAGGATGCGATTTATTCCGTTTATGGTGCAGCTCTTTTAGACCGACCTGGTCAGAATCCTACACCAAAGAATATTCAAGAATGGAAAGAGTCTGCTAAAACAAGTCACGCATATAAATTGCTCCATAGAAAAATTGATCCTAATGTGCCTCATACCTATTTTAATCGGATCCTTTCGCGCATATGGCCTAATAGTTCCACTAATATGCAATTAGTATACACTTTGACTGTATGTCAAATGGTAATATATAATTAATTAATATTATATTATAAATATATGTAAAATAATTTTAATAATTTTAATTTAATAAAAATAGGATAAAGTAAAAGATCGCTTTGCCTTTCAGCCATTGGCTTCTGACAAAGAAGAATCTGTTTCAGAAGAAGAAGAAGAGTAGTAGCTACTTCTTCTTCAAGAAGTCAGGGTTGAAAAAGAAAAATAACACGTACCTCCACCCAACCAAGTAAAAAGGGTAAAAAAGCAGATCTTACACCTGTTTCTGTTACAGTAACCCCCTCCACTTCTCATGATCTCGAAGATTTCGATCATTTAACTGATTCATCTTACAAAGAATCAGATCATTCCAATTATACCCAAGTAATTCCGCCTCAAAAAGAAACAACTCAAGTTAACCCGCAAACAGAAGAAACACAAACTGAAGATGCTGGTCATCAATAATAAATTATTTTTTACTGTTATATCCCTTATATACTATAATCATTCTTCTGATTCTAATTATATATATATATATATATATTTTTGTATTATTATATTTTTTAATTTTTTTTATTTATGTTTTTAATTTTTAATTCTATTATTTTTTTTATTTATGTTTTATTTTTTATGTATTTATTATTATATAATATAATCTTATTTTGCTTTATAAATATATTATCGTTTATTCTATTT